AGATTTTGGGGGATTATGGGGTGAATTGCGGGGTGAGTTTTGGGCTGAATTTGGGGTAATTTTGGGGTGAATTTGGGGGATTTTGGGGCGGATTTGGGGGATTTTGGGGGTGGATTTTGGGTTGAATTTGGGTGAATTTTGGGGTGGATTTTGGGGTGGATTTGGGGTGAATTTTGGGGTGGTTTTGAAGGAATTTTGGGGTGGATTTTGGGGTGGTTTGGGGTGGATTTTGGGGTGATTTTGGGTGAATTTTGGGGCGGATTTGGGGGATTTTGGGGGTGGATTTTGGGTTGAATTTGGGGTGAATTTTGGGGTGGATTTTGGGGTGATTTTGGGGTGATTTTGAAGGAATTTTGGGGTGGATTTTGGGGTGATGTGGGGTGAATTTTGGGGTGAATTTTGGGGTGGTTTTGAAGGAATTTTGGGGTGGATTTTGGGGTGAATTTTGGGGTGAATTTGGGGGATTTTGAAGGAATTTTGGGGTGATTTTGGGGTGGATTTTGGGGTGGATTTTGGGGTGGTTTGGGGTGGATTTTGGGGTGAATTTGGGGGATTTTGGGTGCCCACGCACAGCGTCGGTGAAGGCGTCGACGTTCTGCTCCTCGTGCGCCTCCAGCAGCTTCTGGGGAGGAGGAGGAGGAGGGGAGGAAGGTCAGCGTGGGGAGGAAGGTGAGGATGGGATGAAGATGAGGAGGAGGATGAAGATGAGGATGATGAAGGGGATCAGGATGGGGATGAAGATGAGGAGGAGGAGGATGAAGATGAGGATCAGGATGAGGATGATAAGGAGGACCAGGAGGATGAGGAGGATGAAGAAGAAGACGGGGAAGAAGATGACGAAGATGAAGATGAAGATGAAGATGAAGATGAAGATGAGGAGGATGAGAACCAGGATGGCGATGATGAAGATGAGGAGGATGAGGACGGGATCAGGACGGGGATGAAGATGAGGATGAGGAGGATGATGAAGGGGATCAGGATGAGGATGAGGATGGGGATCAGGATGAAGATGAAGATGAGGATGATGAAGATGAGGATGAGGAGGATGAAGATGGTGAGGATGAGGAGGATGAAGATCAGGATGGGGATGAAGATGAGGATGAGGAGGATGATGAAGGGGATCAGGATGAGGATGAGGATGGGGATCAGGATGAAGATGAAGATGAGGATGAAGATGATGAAGATGATGAGGATGAGGAGGAGATCAGGATGAAGATGAGGATGATGAAGATGAGGAGGATGATGAAGGGGATCAGGATGAGGATGGAGATGAAGATGAAGATGATGAAGATGAGGGTGAGGATAATGAAGATGAGGATGAGGATGGGGATGAAGACAAGGATGAAGATGATGAAGACGAGGATGAGGATGAGGAGGATGAAGATCAGGATGGGGATCAGGATGAAGGATGAGGAGGATGAAGATCAGGATGGGGATGAAGATGAGGATGAAGATGATGAAGACGAAGATGAGGATGAGGAGGATGAGGGGGCAGGGGAGGAAGGCTGACCTTGAGCAGTTTGCACTCGCGGCAGTCGGAGAAGGCCGGGAACATCTCCTCGTACCGCTGCACCGCCAGCTGGCACAGGGAGTTAATTAACACTAATTAACGCTAATTAACTCTAATTAACCCTAATTAACCCCTATTAACCCTAATTAACTCAAACTAACCCCTAATTAACCCAGTCGGAGAAGGCCGGGAACATCTCCTCGTACCGCTGCACCGCCAGCTGGGACAGGGATTTCATTAACACTAA